TTTATATATATATATATGTGTAAATATATATATATATATTTTGTATTTATTAATTTTTTTTTAATGGCAATTTGTTCCATTTAATAAGTATTGTTACAATATAATATTGTTGTGATAAAATTAATAATATTTATGTTTATGAACATGTCTCAGCCGGAAGATATCGTTAAGGAAGATGTAGAATATATAGATAATAACATAAATTCAATTATTTCAAATAAAAATAAACAAAATGAATCTATTTCTTTGCTAAAAACTTTTAAATCTCTAAATTTGGAAAAACAAACTAGTTTTAAATGTTTAGGTACGTTTTCGAATAATATTTCTACAAAACATGTTAATTCTAAAACAATGAAATCAAACAAAAATCGTTTGCGGAGAAAATGTAAAAAGACCAATGAGATTGTAGTTATTGACTTAACTAGCGATGTAGTGCTTGAAAAATGTATAAAGAAAAGGAAATCTAGAAAATTAGCATGGTTAGAAGAGGCAAAGAAGAACATCGATTTGAAGATAATGACAGCATCACAGAAGAAAAAAAAGCAAAAAAATAATATTTCACGAAGTATTAGTCATCAATTGGAAGAATCATCTCAATTAGAGGATGCCACAGAAAATCTTAATAAAAAACAAGAATCGAACCAGATGGTTATTGATGTTAAAAATAGCGAAAATGATAAAAAATTGATAGCTTGTACAGAAAACATAACAAAATCAATCGATATAGAAGTCAATACTAAAAAAACACAAATTAAAACATCTACAATAACTAATAAAGCAGTTTTGACTGAGATACTCTCATTAAAAAAGCAAGTATCAAAAGTTTCAAATAACATTGTTAATAGTAATTGTTTAAGTAACAGAGATAATTCGAATATACAAAATGAAGAAAAAAAAGATGATAGATTTAATAAACAAACTGTGATCAAGCGACTGGTAGAAACAGATGATTTCTCAGAACCTGAAACACGCGAAAAACTTGAAAGTTTTAAAAAAGTCTGTGATCTAGAAACAGAATGCCCAGGTGTAAATAGTATCACAATATGTACTCCATATAATTCCAAAGATAATGCCGTTAATTCTACTCATTCTAATTTCAATGTAATTAATGATGAAATAATCGATAAGATAACAGTATCGAGAAATACAGAAAAAAGTAATCAAAATATCCCGAATAACAAAACATTAGATGTTTGTTTCAATAAAACAATTCTTGAATCTGATTATTCTAATAAGATATTTAATTCTGAGATTAGATGTGAAGAATTAATTACGGCGCAAAATAATAAAACTGAAACGATTTCTACTGAAACAATAAAGAATATTGAAGCATCTTCTGTTAAAAGTTTATTAAATTATAAAGAAAAACAAGAGTCATCACGTGTGTTTGTCAAAATTTCAATGCAAGAAAAGTCTGAATCACAAATGGAATCGAAATCATCAAAATGTACAAACAAAGTAAAAAATGAATTCTGCCCGCGAACAGAATTAGAAATTTGTAAAGAAATAAACAAGAATATAAAAGAAGATAAATCAAGCATCGCTAATATCAGAGAATCTATTTTCGAATCTTATTCTATGGATAAGAAAAATATTTCTAATACAAATAATGCAACGTGCCCGAATGAAAATATTGAGAATAATAAAAATTCTTGTATTGATACAAACTTTAAGAAATGTATAGATGATATAATAGAAAACAAGTACGATGGTAAGTTTGAAAAATATACTAATAAGGAAGATATTTCTTGCGAATCTAACGAAATATCTTCTGTGTCATCGAAAATAGAAACAAATGAATGTAGTAAAATAATAGAAGAAAAAAATGTGAATAATGTTGCCAAAAATAAATACATCACTCAAGAATTACAAGACAATATCGATGGTTTATCGTTGTTGGCTAGTGTTTCGCAACACATACCCCATTTGAAGCCTGAATCTGATATAAAATGTGATCAAATAAAAGTAAAAGATTACGCATCTTTAAGATATGCGTGTTATAATCAAATTACTGACGATGAGGCAGATACAAATGATTCGTCAAACACTGTTTCTCAATTGCTCGAAAATCCATCCACAGAAATTATCAATAGAATCGTCGGCATTTATCCTGAAGATGCCTTAGATGTTGCCCTTCATGTAGAAGTAACATCTAATGAAACAAATAATGGAAATAATGATAGCGAATTGTGTAAAGTCATATTTCAACCGGAAACAAATCTAAATTATGACACAGATGCATTAACACATAATTTAACTCCTATAGAAAATAATGTTCAAACCGTGAAAGAAAATACAAATGTAATACTAAACGGAGAAACTGTAGTTTTATTGCAAAAATCTCCTAATAGCAATCTGTACATTATAAACAAAGCAGTCGAAAATTCTAAAGATCACAATAATGATGAAGAAAATAATAGATTAAAGGAAAAAAATTGGATATCTCAAACTGAAGACTGTGGACAATTTGAAACTTTATCTTCTTTAGATCATGTATCATGTAATTTGGATTTAATTCCGTATCAAGAGAACAAGTGTTCCATAGTGCGAGGTAAAGGAATAAAAATAGAATGGGAAGATAATTTTTCAGATATGAAAACATATTCCACGAAGTTATCAACTGACATGCTCTCTATAAATTCACAAATATATCAAGATATAAATATTATGAACAAATCGATAGACAAGAGGAAATCAAATTCTACTTTTCGGCAAAATATCAAGCAAGAGTTCAATATCTCCAATCACATAGCATCGAACTGTGCAATTCCAGGATTCAGTGGAATTCACTCGCATCCACGAGAAGTTGATAATCAACACCCCTTACATATTCCCGCCACTCATCCAACGACCTTACCAGCGATTTATGGAAATTGTGCTGACAACACGGAATTGTGTGTACCATATCATAAACATTGCACTTCAGTATCGTGTAATTTGCAAATTAATGCCACTTCTTCCCTTTATTCGCATGCGAAATCGGGCAATCCGTGTGGAAGATCGCATTGTTCTTGTTTAAATTGTACTTATGATATCGTTGCGCATTGCAGACAATGTATGCACCCGACATCGGATTCTCATGTGTCTTGTATCGAAAGTAGTCCGTATTTCTTGTCAACGCACTCTTCAGTACAAAGCCCTGCCGTCCAAGAGCATGACAGAGCAAAGAATGAGGTCATAGAAAAATTATACGATGATCAATTATTGTGTAAGATAGAGAAAAATCTTTTGAAAAATAATTCATTGGAAAAACTGGAAGTACAATGTGATTCTGAAAGAATGTTTAATAAAGCTGCAGAAAATAAATTACCTTTGAAGAAAAGGCTGAAAGCGCATGCAATGGCATATGGTGAAGTACAGATAAAAGCAAAAAATATAGATAATTATCCTGCTATGCCTATGATGTCCATAGCTGCTTTAGAAGCATTGGACAATACGCGAAAAGGATCCGATCAAATCGTTAAATCTGAATACGAAGTGTCTGTTACTAAAAAAGAAGAATCACATAATGACTATCATTGTAATTCAAATTTGATAAGAAGAAATTATTATAAGGATATGCATGTTGCCAATTCACATCAGAATCTCGCAAAAGAAAATACAAGAAAGATTGAATGTCAATTTCGATCGACAAATAATCAGACTAATAATACGATATGTCAGGAATCTTGTCTTCAGAGGACAGTTAAAACATCTGCGCAACGGAAAGAAATCAATCTGTCAGACATGACATCTTTAAAGCAATTTGAGATAGAACCGATAGAACAAGAAGGAACGTACAAAAAAATAAAGAAAACACAGTCGCCTCTACGGCAAACAAGAAGCTCAAAACGAAACGTTCCTAAAGTAAATTATTCTTACACCGATGTTGATCCAGAATGGAATCCGTCCGGTGAGTCAAAACGCAAACGTAAAAAGACTAGTCGATGATCGATATCGCCTCATTATGAAAATTCGTTACCGTAAGAAATTTTTCTGAAATTTAAATGAATGAGTGAACATTAATCTTATAAGACTGTGGCATCGTAAACTTGTATATATATTGTATAAATGGGAAGATATATCATCTCGAGAAAATATTTGCATATTGGCGATAGTACTGGCATAGTACAACACCCGAAGATTAACAAATTAGCGTAATTTTTCGAAGAGTTTCAAGCAACAATATGAAAGATGTATAGATTTTGCAGATCGTACCTGTATTTTGTTGAACATAGACAATTTGGTACTAAAATGATAAGATATTCTTTAATGTTTATAATTTGCTTTGTATAAAGCTATGCAGTATTATATTACATTTTATCAGATTTTGATGACTAATTAATTTCGATAGAATAGAATCCTAATAATTTTAATTAGACTGAGTATGATAGATATCGTATAGAATGCAAAATTTCATTGTTTATAGAGTAATTAAAATGTTTTATATATTCAGATAAAAAAACTACTTTTGTACATAATTATATAAATGTAATATAGTAATTTAAAATAATTTTATGCAAACGTTTCAATTTTATAACTCTTATATATGGAAGGTGAGATAATTTATCCTTAACAAATAATTTTAAATATATTATTATGCTACATAAAAATAATAGATAAATGATATAATACAATTTTATGTAGCAAAATATGATTTATTTTATTATTTCATATTCATATATAATTTTTTTTCTAATATTTTACATTTTTCAGTTTAATGACATAAGATTATTTAAATTCAGCGAAATAAGAAATCCAGGCTGATGACATTATAATTTACTAAAAAAATATTAATAGGTAAGATTGAAAATGAAATATTATCAATATTATTACATGTATATATGTTATTATATATTATTTACATTTATATAATATATGTTTTATTATGTTTTATGAATATATATTCAATTATTCTATAATTAAATATTTTTATTCTTATTCTATAACATATTTTAATTATTTTATTTTTTTAATTTATTTAAAAAAATTTTTATATTTTATTTTATATTTCAGATTAATTATTTCCTCATACTGGAAAATTTCAAGGAAATGCTTAATTCCAAAATGTGATGTCAATAAATTTGCCAAATAACATAGAAGTAATAGTATCATCATACAAGAGTAGAATATAAAATATTAACTTCCTTTAAACTTTTAATCTGTCCTCTTAATACATATAGCAACATTATTTGTTAAAAATGTACTCTTAGATATCACAATGCAAGTAGCATAGCTAGTCATCACTTTTAATTATGAAATAATGTCATCATTTTTAATTATGAATTAAATTTAATATTTTGATTTATATAAAATAGAATTTACAAAAATTAACATATATTCAAAATTTTCAGTTTGAAAATGGAAACATCACATAAAATTAAAAAGATGTACTTAGATTTTATATACTTACCAAAATGATAGAGCTTTATCACATAAAAAATCATTCGATATAATATCCAAATTTATAATATAAATTTATAATTTATACTTTTCAACTTTAAAATTTTAAAATTTTCAACTTTAACATATATTCTTAAAAATTATTCAACTATTTTTTTTTGCAAATTAAAATAAAAACTACAGGATAATTCTTGCTAGAAGACTCAAAGGCTGTACTAATCATAGCTTTGTTTTTGATATATTTATATATATATATATATATACACAATAATACAAGCATACATAGAACTATCTTACATTAGCCTTTTATAACATTGAAAAAACATAGTAAAGATCAATAACTATATTACATATATAAGCAATATAATATTATTATCTTATGACATTGATTCCTTTAATAACCTTTTTTTCCTTAAATAACCTTTGAGTTCTCTAATAGAGAATCATCCCATATATTTTGAAAATTCGAATATTGAAAAAATCCTATTCTAATTAATCATAATTAGAAAGATAAAGCAATAATTTAAAAACATTATCAATTTTCTTTTGATATTTCTGATTTATATATACTTAACAATTATATTCAGTCATTAATTATTCAAAATACAAAATCATTTTCATATTTCAGTGCCATATTCTAATGTTTTGATATTTATATCTGTGATTATTAGCTAACTAATGCTAAATTAATTACATCATTTTATCATAGAAAAAACGTGTATTAAGTTGGATATTTTGTCATTTCAATCTCAATCATTTAATTTCCATTTGATAATGATAAATATATTATTTGTTTATTATATGTTTCTTATGAAAATGAATATAATTAAGATATATTATTTTACAACTTTTTAATTGCAAAAATTTACAATAATGAATTTCATGTATTGTAAATGAAAAACATAAAAAGACATAAATTTTTGTTTTTGTTTCTTTATCATCATTATTTATTTTTTAATTTTCAAAAAGAAGTCTGATAGTTTTAAGTTGAAGTAATATAAATAAATTTTTAATTTGATAGTTGATATTATACACATATAGTTAAATAATTGCCAAATTATTGCAAAATTTTCATGTATGCACATGAATGTATGAATAGTTTGTTATTGACAAAATTATCTTATGCGTGAAGCATTTATTAAGGAAAGTCTGATATCTTAAGATACAATTTAGAATAACATTACATCGGATGCCTCATTCATTCGTGTTCATAAAAAAATTAAGTACTGTATATGTGTAGAACATTCTGTCATAATCTCGAATAAACTTGTATTTACCTATATTTGTAAATTATATGCATTATGCAATGCATAGACTGGGTTTTTTGAGAAAAATGATATAAACACATTTACCTCATATTTACGTCCCCAGCGTAAATTTTTTACGTTTACGATTAGGGTTAGACGTAGTTTGTAACAGGGTACTTGTTTAAATATTTTTTTAATATCTTTATATTTAATTATTTTTAGTTTAACACATGGAATCATATCTCTGTGTGATTTTTATTTCATTTATAATAATACTTATCTGTATACCAGGATACATTTTGTAAAGTGCGTTTTTAATATACTTATTTTATATTTCATTAAAAATGTTTTTATTCTTTATATAATATCCTAAATATCATAATATCGAAATATATGATAATGAATATAATTATCATCATTTTCATATAAAGAATAGGAAAATGTAGTAAAATATAAAAAAAAAAGTAAAAGATAATAGAAATTATGCATATAGTTTAGGCATTAAATATTATAAAATTATGTAATATTAAATATTATATTATTATTAATATATTTTTAATTAAACTTTTCAAAAAAAGAAAGGTTTAAAATTATAAAAATTAAAGTTATTTTAGGTTTAAAAAAATCTAGAAATAATAATAATTTTTCTGTATAACAACCTGTAAATATATATAAATTTTAAAGTATTTGTGAATTTTTTATTAATATATAAAAATAATAATATGAAATATAATGAAATAAATTTTATTCATTAAAATATGTTCAAAAATTTATATTTGTATAGTTTCATTATTTATTAAATTTATATATACATATTAATATTATTGGTAATAGAAAATTTTGATATTAACAATTTATTTAAAAAAAAATTTTATTCTTTTGTTCAGTCTCTGTATTGTACATTATAGACAATGTAATATATAATTTAATATTTCGATTATAAATTACATAAATCTAACAAAGCTATTAAATTCTATTAACATTAAAATTTACAGAATTAATAAATTGTTTAATTAAATGCAATGGCACGTTTAATTTTTCATATATTCATTTATAAAAAGATCATAGTATAATATTTGTAATTTTCTATTTACACTTATAAATTAGACGATGAAAAATCTATTGAAAATTTTGAAATTATTTTCTTTTACTTTTATATATCACTTATTTACTGCAACAATGTCATAATGTTAAAAAATCATAAATTTTTAATAATCATATTAAAATACCAGAATGAAGAAAGATTCTACAAAGTATATTATGTATTTGATTTTAAAAAAATATATATTTTTTGTAATTTCGATTCAAAAATTTTAATTATATAAATTATTGTTGTAGCAGATAAGCAATATCTTTAATCTAAATAATATTAAAACTTTAAAATTATATAAATATTAATAAAATTAATTTTAATCTAATAAGATATTAATTATATTAATTTAATAAAATAATTTTTTCTTTTTCTTTTTTATTCTTAGTTATTTTTTGTTAACTACAATTTTTTTAAATGTATTAACATTATATATAATGTTTTATAAATATACTATCATTTTCAGATAAGACAATAATAAATGTACAAATCTATAATATATATTAAATGTAAAACAAATGTATGAAATAAATAAATATACAATTTCTCATCTCTTGATTAAATATTGTACATTATTTTTTTTGATACTTTTTTGTTGGAAATGAAAATAAAAATTAATTTTATACATAATTATAAAAATACTTATTAGTATCCATGTTTGAAAATATATTTGAATACTTAAGAGAAAAAAAAAAATAGTTAGACATTAATGGATGAATTATATTGAAAGAAACATTTTGATATATAATCAAATGTACATGTATAAATTTTTAATAATTTCTTATTAATATCTATTACAAAAAATTATTATTAAAAAAAATCAAATTTGTTAACGTAAATGAAAAATTATATCTAATTATTTTACATTATATTTTATTAATTTATAAATAAATTTTTTTTGTGCCATATGAATACTAGTCTTATTCTATGGTTAGCTTATGTATACATAGTATACTATAAAGTATAAGCAATTTTTTATATATGTTTTTTTAAATTCATTTCTTGAATATTTCAATATTTCAATAAGAATACAATTTTCTACAAAATACAAAAGGCATTTCTGCAAGCATCTATATTAACATTATTATTTGCTTATTTTATTTATATATAAATTGCAAATAAATGACTTTTCGAACTAGATTTAAATGAATTTTAAATTAATATTTTATTTTACAGTTATAATTCAATTTAAAATTATTTTTATTATTTGACATAACATAAAAATAATGATTTTATTCAATGCATTCAAAATATGATTATGTAATAATCATAATTTTTAAAAATTTTATTTAGGCAATCAAATTGAATTAAATAACAAACATAAATAAATATATAAATTAAATAAATTAAAAATAATATTAGAAATAATATTAAATAAATTAAAAATAATATTAGAAATAAACATGAAATATATTTTCGAAATAGATTTTCATAAACAAATATAAATATTTATATTTAATCTTTATTACAAACTATTATTATTTTTATAATACTTTGAAAATACTGAAAATTAAATTTTTTTATTTATATTGAAAAAATTAACCAGAACATATTATTTTTTTCATAAAAGAGAATAGTAATAAATTATCTACATTACATATGTAACTTTTATATGTTAAGAATTTTCTGTGAAATTTACTTCTTTTTTATTGTAATTATTTATATATAAAAATAAAAAATTAATCAGAACATATTATTTTTTTCATGAAAGTAAACTTCAATCAACAAAGATTATTCTACAAGTAAAAAATATATATCATCATTAAACTTTGTAAAAGATCTTTTTTGTACTTTTCATATAAAAATTAAAAAAATATATTTACATTTAATATTAAAATTGTTATAAATATTATAAATATGTAACAAATATAGATAATAATAATAGCTTAATAATAAAAAAAAAATATTGTATATTAACATAATAAAATGTATATAGCTCCATAAATTAAATTAAATCCATATTAAAATAAAAATATCACATGTTATTTCAATATTGCCTTCCATTCATTTCTGTCAAGTTTTTAATTATATAATAAGTTTTAATTATATAATAAGGTACAATATCTTTCTGAACAAATTTTACAAAATTAACTAATATTATTCATTTTAGAAAAAATTTAAAATGAGGGTTTTTAAAATTTTATTACAGTATTCTTCTTAATTTATGATAACTTAATGTATTTTACTGTATTATATTATTAAAAATAATTATTTAGTATTAAATAATATCTCTTTCAAATGAACACTTTTTAATGACATATAATGTTCAATATTAAATAAAATGAAAAAAAATTTATATTCTATTATATGGATATATTATTATAAATTATTAAATATTAATTATAAATTTTATTTAAAGCTTTAGTAATTTGTACATTGAAAAAATTAGCAATAATTACCAAAAAATAGAAGTAAAATGATAGTAACTAAAGTCTTAAAAAAATAATGTTTATAATTTAAACATTATTAAAGAGATCGTTGAAATATTTTCATCTATAAACTTTATATTTAAATGTATATTTTAATGTATTATTCACATTTATATACAAATTAAATAAACAAAATTTATATGAATTATGAAATATGAAATTTATATATATTAATATAACTGTTAAATTTACTCTAAATTCTAATATGCATAAGAATTTTATATTAAAAAGTAAGATTTTTTCATATGCATATAATTTATATTTTTTTTTATACTAAGAATTGAAGACTTTTTAAAAAAATGAATAGTCTTCAAAAAATCTTTGGAAATAATACGCTCATAATATTTTTAAATATTATAATATAAAATTATTATAATTAATGGCATTTTTATTATTTTTAAATTCAACAATATATATTTTTAAAAAATAAAATAAATAAAAAAATCGTAAAAATATCAATAAATATCTAAGTAAAATATAGTACAGATTTATTAATACTGAAAACAAAGACATCGCAATTATTTCATTAATAAAAATAATTTTGATAATAACTCTAAAAACATAATAAATAAACTTAACTTTTATCACATAAATAATATTACAATTGTGCAAATTGTATAATAATGTTACTATTACTTCTATTACTTCTATTCTTATAAAAAAAATTATTACCAATATATATAATTATAATAAAAAAATTTTCGTGATTTAAAAATTAATAAGTAACACAATCAATGTGTATAATTATTTATATAGTTACGATTTGTATATATGATAATTACCATTTATAATTTCATGATATATATCTTATTTTCAAATAATAATTATTTCTATAATTTTGTAAACTTTATTGTTTCCTAAGAAAAATGTATGTATTTAGGATATTCAAATAGTTAGCATTTCTTCCTTTTCTTTTTACTAGTTTGGAAGTTTAATATAAATTTATTTGCAAATATATATGAAATATTTACTTATATTGGAAAAAAATAAGCTTTATTCTGGAAAAATTCTAATCAACTCACCTACTTATATTCTTCTGTTTGTACATATCATACCTATAAACAAAAATACAAGTTAATATAAAATATATTAATATATTATAAAAAATTAAACAATATTTTTATATAAATATATATATATATATAATTTTATATTTATTATTAAAATTATTATTAGATTGTGATCAATTAGTAAAAAATAAATTACAATTATTATATTTAATTTTTATATATATAAAATATATATATTTAAAAATATTAAGCAAACTTAC